TACAATAGCAACAGTTCTTATAAATAATTCTAAATACATTTTTCCCCACTTTTCAATGTTTGATTCAGTAGTTATAAAAAGCCCTTATGATGTGCCGTAAGACACACGAGCATCCAGACAAGACAGAAAGCTGCTGCAAATCTACTTCTCATCACCAAATGCTGTCGCTACGCAGGTAAGTGCCTTAATGATGAATGGAAAGTAAAGGTTTCTCACAAAGGTGACTTGGCTCAACATTGTTCATCTGGTTTATTTGCATCTCCATTACATTGAGCTGAGACATGCAGTCAGAGTGCCTCCAAAAATATCTCTATGGCTTTGTTTGCTTTCTTCTTCCTCTGTAAGAGAGTAACCATATGCTAAGTTTAGTGGGTGTTTTTAGTTGTTTCCTAGTTTGGAGTTTATTTAAATTTAAAAAAATAGATTTGATTGCAAACCAGTAACAGTCAGAAATAATTCTAGTGAAGTCAGCAGAAAACAGGTACAAATTAGCATGAAAACTATAAGGAACAGCCTCAGGTACACCAGTTTCAAGATCATATGGTACATTTATTGCCCAAGCACAGTGAACTTTTTAGATTGCCATGGGACTTTGAATACTGTTACCGGATAATAACACTTCTTTTGGAAAACAGACAATTTAGACAAAACTGTACTTTTAACTCCTGATTTTATGCCTGTTCACAGACAACTTGCCTTTTTTTATATAGAAGAGAACTGCTTTGAAACATACAATAGCTTAACGATGTTTTTTAAATTAGACCTCCCAAAGTCAAAATTCATACCCCTGAAATTTTCACCACACTATTTTGTCTTTCAAAATGCTCTTCAAAACTTTTATTTGCATATGGAAACATCCACATTCATAAAGCAAATTTAAAAAAAACAATAACACATCCCACAAAGCTGGGCTTGTAATTTTTTTTTTTAAACCATGAGTCCATAGTGCAGATACTCAAACTGCAAGCAGTATAAGCTGGCAGCAACCTCTGTTGAGGTTCAACCTCTGTGAACACCTGGTGTGCATTACCTGCATATTTTTATATAATACATCGCTATCTCCTAATACCTATCTCTCAGCTTAATGCTCAATTAGTGTTTCTAGTGACAAAACAAGGTGCTTTTTTTCCTTCCTGCCATCTTTAGAAACTGAAGAACACAACTAACGATTTGCTGGCCAGGGAATTAAGAATCAGACAGGCTCATACCACGCCTGCCTGATCCAGCCTGAATAGGAAGGTTAATGACTTGATGAGCGCTTGCAGACAGCCCATCGCAGTGCCACGCCAAGCCTTTGTATGAATTGCCACAAGCCAGCAAACCGTGTTCTGACCTTTGCAAAAAGCACCAGCTACGCACAGGACGGTGCACACCAAGCCCAGGAGAGAAGCCAATGAATGAACTCAAAGGCCATCTAGGTTTACAGCGATGACAGAACACTCCTATCCTTCAGTTAATACGTCTCAGAGGCGCCATGGGGCCTGCCTAGGAGGTACTGCAGAGCATTGGCCGCTGCCCAGCAGCCCTCGTGGTCACTTCTGGAAGGGGGGTGGCCCAACGGTGGCTGGCTCTTGTGCCTCTGGACTGCCCTCCACCGAGCAGTGCAGCTTGCCCTTCCATTCACACAAATTAATTCAGACAACACTGTTCTTCCAGAATAACGAGGGGGCGAGCGTGAGTAGAGAGTGAGAGCTCTCTTGGCATCCAATTCAAATCTGTGAACAGCTTCTCACAAGGGACTATTTTTAAGTTTCATATCAATCTGCTTGAGAAAGGTTCCTTCTGCTGCCTACAAAATGTGCAAACTCCCCCTTTGAAGAACCACAGCTCAGGACAGCAAGATCCAGCCCTGCACTTGCAACCTAATCAAGACTATTTCATGACCAAAGCATTGCACAACCACACAACGCTCCTGCAGAGCATGCCCTGGTGAACCCCACCCGAGCATCAGTGAAGCCCCCCCATTACCTTCAGGAGTCCTCTGTGTTCTTCACAAGCTTACAGGTAGCACACATTCACCTGTGAAACAACCCACATTGAGGCAGCATGACTGCTTCTGGAAGCATTACTGCTCTTACTACTGCAACAGAGGCAGAACCACTATATAAGACTGAGGGGGGGGGGAAAAAAAAAAAAGAAAAAAGTGAGATGCAGTAAGCATATAGATGCTGTGCATGACCTGACCAGTGAGGTGAAACCATTGTACACTGGGTTATCAGAAGTTCCTGTATGAAGGCATTGTTCAGGCTTAAGAGGTCTGTGAGAAAAAAAACAAGGAACAGCACTACACAATGGATGCAGATAAGCAACCTCTGAACAAAGTCCTGGGCAACTGCAAGACAACGGGAAAACTTATTAGCTGCAAGCATCCTATATCCTGTCTCCAATAAAGCAACACAGATGTTCTGCTAATGCAGGGCGTGAAAAGATGAAAGGAGCACTATGCAGCTATCGAGCCATCCGCAGGAGAGAGGGTCAGTGTTCAACAGCTGCCGGAGGGAAACAGCGGCTGAGCGCACAAAGATGTCCACAGGTTGGGCAAGAAAAGCCTCTTTTTAACAGGTCTAAGAACGTAACATCTCTCTAGTCACCAGTAAGGGAGGCCACCGTTATGACCACGAGCCCCTCAATACCATTGCAAACAGGGCTTTGCAAGCCCAGCTCCAGCCCAAGAACAGAAAGACCATTGTTCTAGAGTTTAGTCACCAGGGCGGTTATCTCCACTGGGAAATGCATGGTGTACACACACACACACGGAGGCTGCGGCGTTGGGGACTGCACCTCTTCATGGTACAGCAGAACTGGGGCTCTGCCCAGCGAGAACAACCAGAGCCACAGGGCTGGAGGAAGTAAGGGCTTCAAGACCCACTTCTTGTTTGAGAAGTGGGGTGCAGAATCAGCCCCACCATCAACCCTTGGCCATGTGCTCTGCACAGTCTGACCTCTCCTCCCAGTGTACTTCCCAAAGGCAGAGCTGTCGGCCCTCCACGAGGCTTTCATAAGCCTGAAAAATCTGGAAAATCTGTTCCCTGGAAAATTCAGGCCACTTAACTAGCACATACTGGGCATCTGCTACTGTGTCAAGAAGAAACTGCAACGAGAACATTAGTTAACAGCCAGCTACACAGGAAACACACTGAGCTGTAGAAGATCATACTCTACTCCTTTGGCATTTTTTGCTTTCTCAACATGGTGTTCCCCATCCCATTCCCCACTGCTGAAGCGGGAGAAGTGTTCGCTCGTGCCAGCGGGTGAGATTTGAACCCCAGCTGCCCATACACTTGGTCCTGCACATCTCACAGTCCCAGCTGTGCAGAGAAGGGCCAGCACAGAGAGCCTGGGTGTGCTGCAGACACTGCACCCCAACCAGCACACATGGGGAAGCATCACCCACTGGCTGACACTGGACTACAGTGCAGCTCAGAGCCGAGCCAAGCTGGGTGGCTGCACAGCGGACACCTCCCCAGGACGCTGCAAACACCAGGCAAGTTCTGCAAGGGACATGGTACTACCCTACATGGTATGACAGCACTCCTTTCAGTTCACAAATAAATGCTATAAAATGTAAACATATTAATCTCTTCATTCAAAGTATCTGCACGGCCACTGGCTACAATTCAAAAGTTTCAAGGGCATAAAGAACATGACTTTTTTTCCCCTCTGATAAAAATATTTTTGTCTCTCACTGTCAACAAACCAGCAATGTAAATGAACATTTGAAAGTCACTGTATAACTAAAAGTCATTGCATTAAAAAGAGCAAAACCAAATGCAAATAGGAAGCTTGAACTTCTTGGTAAAATGGAACAGAAGTGAAAGTATGAAGAAACCACAAACAGTAATAAAATGGGTAAACCCGTGTTAGACCGGATGGAGCCCTGGTCTGAACCTGTGCATATGTAATTCCACCAGTTCTGTTACTCATTATGTTCATAAAAACAAACCCAAATCTTTTCAAGCAACAGTTGAAGTTCAAGGAAAAACTTTTAAGCTTGTAAAATTTACCAGATTCCTTCTAGAAACTCAAACAGGTTAATTACTCTGATCAAAACATTAAACACAATGTCAAGAGTTCTCAAAAGCAATCAGTTATCCATATTTGTCTCAGGGTTTTTACCATCCTATTTAAAACACCTTTGAGTCACACTTTTGGGAAAAAGAAAAAAAGAAGTGGATGTTCCTTTCCTGAGAACTGCGGTGAAGCGACCCCGAACAGAGATGCCCATCTCCCCTTCTGCCCCTTCCCCGTCCCGACTCAGACCCCGGGTATTTGGTAAATTTTTAAAGTCACCCCTGGAGATCCAACAGCAACAAGCAACCAAGAGCCATCTACTGCCTGCAAAATCGACTCTGCAAAGATAAGCACTAGCGAGAAGGCTCAGCTGTAACTCGGACAGGCCTAGCAGAGCCACCGTGTTTGCCTGTCCCTTGTGGAAAGCATTCTCCCAACGCCCATTTTTCTGAGAGCACTGCTCTCCAAATATTTTGGCTGTTCCTCATCTACAGGACGGCGTTAGAGTGCATCTGCAATTCTGTCTCCAGGAAATACACATAAAGCTGATTCATTATCTTAAAATGCTGCTTTCACATCTGCTCATTAAAAGCACATTTTAGATCCCTGTGCCGAATCCACAGCCGACGCGCTCTGGACACAAAGCACCGGGTTTCAGTTCTCTACTTTTCTCATTTCAGTTACATTTGCTGCCTACAACGTGCATTCTCCATTTCGAGGACAGCTATATCAGACCTGAGCTACCATCAGAAAACGCTCTGGATAAAATCCTCTCTCTCCCTGCGATGCCTGGCATTCCAGGCAACTGCACTTGATGTCAGACCCAACCTAGATTTCAGGAGCTACATCCTGCACCAGCAGCATCCTCCCTGCAGAAACAGAGCAATAAACAGTTGTTCTGCACATCCCATACCCCAGCACACCGAGCCATTCGGAAGAGAGAGAAAAGCAAGTGAGCTTAGGTAATGCACGCGTTAGACAGTCCTCACCTTTAGGGAGTCAAAGCAGGCAATAACTCGACCATTTTCCACATGGCAACTCCGTGACGGATGGGCGAACTTGCACTCTGCATCAGACCGAGAACAAGTACCTCTCTGAAACTCTCGACACACTTCTAACGTCAGCCATTTTGTATCACGAACAAGGGAAACTTCCCCAGCCATATTAAAAAAAACAAAAATTAAAATGCAAGCAATCGCACCCTTCTTCAGGGCAATATTTACTGCTGATCTTTTTTTTTCTTCTTTTTTTTTAAAAAAAGGGTAAAAAAGTGAATTCAAGTTAAACGTGAAGAAATAACTAACTTGTTGCTTTGGTAGAACTCCTATTCATCAGCACTTAGGTTTTCATTTAAGTCAAATCGTGTTTGTTTAAACAAGAATTAAACATAAAGCCAATCATAAAATAGAAATCTTATCAGAACAACTGAAAATCAAATTAGAGGCCAGCTCCTAAAAGTGCAATTGTAGAAGTTAAAATATAAGTGTTATATTTTGTGCCACTGCCGAAGTTACTTGCAAATAACTGGCAGACTTTCAAAAGAATTCTGTGCTCTCCAGTTAATGGTTTCAATTATTCTTGCAAAAAGCATATGCTGCTGGCAGCACTTCAGTTTGTGGAATGGTCTCGGTCCTTGGGGAGAAAACTTCGGGGTTTTTTTTTCCTTCTAGTTCTTGCTTCTAAAAATTACGGTTCGCAAGCATCAAAACGAGCAAAAGGACGTCTGATTTTTTTTTTCCTCTTTCTTTTCTTTTAAATAATTGCTACATACTCGGGGGAAGGAAAAAAAAATAAAATGGCTGAGCAAACTGCGTGTAAATGGGGAGGGAAAGAAAAAAAAAAAAAAGGGCAAGGCTGGAGGAGTTGCCGTCAGGGCACGAACCGCAAGCAACGCCGAATTAAAAAGAGAGGGGGGCGAGGGGCAGAGAGAGGCAGCCCTAGACAGAAATCCAAGCAGCGGTGGCTTCAGGAAAGGCACTTTTCAGCAACCTGCAGGAAAAAGAGAAATAGAATCAGCCACGAGCCGACGGTCGCCCCCGCTCAGGCGGGCGCGGGGCTGCCCGGCCCCCGGCGGTGCGGCGCGGCCCCGGCAGCCATTGTCGATACCAGGGGCATTTCCCGCACCAAGCTGCGCATGGGAGGAGGGAAGCGACCAATGGCGTTTACCGTTGCAGCAGCAGGCCCGGGCAGCCGACCAATAAAAGAGACCGTTTCATAGCGGCCCAAGC